AGAGTATTAAAATAAAAGATGACTATCTCCATTAGGCCTGGTGTTATATTGGCTCTACTCATGGAAAAAATCAATTAAATTGTCCAAATAGTTTTCACGTTATTGACATACTCCAAACATTTATATCTAGCCTATAATATTAGTTCCTTCCATCCAAGTCATTGACTTAATCAGTAATATACTAAAATCATTAAACACGCTAATGTGTTTCCCAGATATTTTTATGGGGAAACAAACACAATACTTTTTAATAGGTACAATATTTTAAAAAATAAAGTCAATAACTTTATGAGTTATATGCCCTTAAAGAATAAAACCGTCCTATTCACACAATACCACAAAATTATTTATTAAATTCAAAATATAAACATGACTTTAAATAATCCTAATTTAACCCTTCTAATTGTGTATCACAATTGCTGCTTAGTTCATTTAAATATTGCAGAAACCCCCAACCAACAATCTTTTCAAATTCCCATCAGAATAAAAGCTACATAGTTTCCCTATTTAATGCCTAAAGAATCAGTACCAAACTTCAGCCTTCTATGTTAATGGGAAGAAGAATTGGTGATGAGTGAGTCAGTCGGTGAGGGCTTTGCATTTTATAGATATAGATCATCATAAATCCACGTTGATTATGTTTTTGTACGGCTTGCACAATTTAAATAGCACCCCCCCCCCTACCCTAGCACCCCTAAATAGCACCCCTACCCTTTAATTGTGGTTTTCAATACATAATATGTATTGAATGATATTGCTTGACATATATGTATTGAAATATTATTTCAATACATATATGTCAAGCAATATCATTCAATCAAACAGCTGTTCAACAATAAAAGACATAACTCCAACACAGAAAACAAATTAGGTAATACATAGAAACTATTTTTCCAAAGTAGCAAATTGACAATGGTTTCAATATGCTATGCCAGTAAAACGATTGTGAGATCAAACGTCTAAACGTTTTTGTGGGACATCCTGTATATTATCGGATAAACACATTTAATTGCATAATCGACTTTTGGTTTATTTAGTAAAAGCATAATAAGGCTGGTAAGCAATAGCAAACTGTAGTAATTGAAAATACTAACCAGATTACTACAATGAATCATCAGATCAAATATGCAAGTCATCCCAGGAAAATCAGCATAAATAATAACACTGAATAAGTCACTTGACACTAACACTAATAATATTCACTAAACACACTCACGAACACTACACGTTACATTACGAACATCACGAATGATTAATTATTAACGATTATTACAAACACTCACTTCACTACACGGACACACGTAACATGTTAACACGTAATAACACGAAAATACATTGTACTGTTCAATGACACCAACAAGGACAACAATGAACCAATGAGAAACGAGCGCGTCATACGAGTAGATGACTTGCTAATCAGCTGATCAAGAAAAAGGTTTTTGGTGAGTATACTAGCCAACATTTGCATACGCTACAACATACTGTACTTGCTAATCAGCTGTTAAGGAAAAAGATCTTTGGTTAGTATAATAACTAATATTTGCATGCCCTTCAACATACTGTATAAAATTAATTGTTGTAGGTATTTATATACTATATTAACATAATAACTCAATAACTCGCCAGAAAAACCCAATTTTCGTTATAATGAAATTACAGATATAATATATAGGTTTAAATAAAACTAATTTTACTAATATTCACTATTCAACGTATTAAATTGTACAGTTTCTAATAATTGTGTGATTACAATTATTTCATTGCGATTATTGTTGTAGTTTACGGTTATTGCAATTAATTTTAACTGTAATTTAACTATGCTATAATGTGTACACTAATTACATTACATTATTGTAATGGTTACGAAAATATTAAAAGTGAGCTGATCTTATCTTTATACAGTAACTTATACCATTGAATATATCATGCTTATACAAAATGTGAAAGTATGGATGTTTTGGAATTCATCCAGTGGAAAATCACTTGAAAACAACCGATTTGGCTTTATTGCAGGAGTAGGGCTTACATCCCACCGATCGACAAATGCCTATTTTAAAACGTTTTTATTAGCTCGCTTTCTTGTCCGGTACAAATTTTGCAATCAATTTTATACTAACTTCCCGATGAGCTTGATACTTGAAACTTTAAACATAGCTCACAAATGGAAGACAATGCAATATTATATCATTTAATTTTCATATTTCCCTTGGGCTACACCCCATGGGCTTGTTTTTATTAGCTCGCTAGTCGCTTTCCTACAAATTTTGATATCTATTTTAAACTAAGTTCCCGATGAGCTAGAGACTTGAAATTTGAATCATAGCTCACAAATGGATGACAATACAATATTATATCATTTAATTTTCATATTTCCCTTGGGCTATGCCCCATGGGCTTGTTTTTGTTAACTCGCTTTCTTGCAAATTTTGATACTTCCCGATGAGCTAGAGACTTGAAACTTGAAACATAGCTCACAAATGGAAGACAATGCAATATTATATCATTTAATTTTCATATTTCCCTTGGGCTACGCCCCATGGGCTTGTTTTTATTAACTCGCTTTCTTGCAAATTTTGATACTTCCCGATGAGCTAGAGACTTGAAACTTGAAACATAGCTCACAAATGGATGACAATGCAATATTATATAATTTAATTTTCACATTTCCCTTGGGCTACGCCCCATGGGCTTGTTTTTACTAGTTCGCTTTCCTACAAATTTTGATATCAATTTCAAACGAAGTTCCCGATGAGCTAGAGACTTGAAATTTAAAATATAGGTCACAAATGGATGATAATGCAATATTATATAATTTAATTTTCATATTTCCCTTAGGCTACGCCCCATGGGCTTCCAAATTTTTCATGTTTACATTTTGAAACAATGTAAATATATAAATTAGTTTAAGTCAGCTGTAAATACTTAAATTTGACAATTCGATGAACAGAGGTTAAGAGGTACAGGTTATGCTCCCAAGAGATTCTTTATACAAACAAACATTTCAAAAGAAAGATAAACAATCTGATTGCAGATATTAAGGTGTTTGTCAATAATGTCAATTGTTATTTAGTGTTCTATAAAGTAAACAATAAATTAAATATATTGATATATTTATAGTTAAAAGATAGGCCATACATTCAATCTAATACATAATTATATGAAAAAAAACTCAAATAAACCTTATATTTCCCACATACCTCTCTCTTAATTTGATATAGATGCTTGAAATAGATTTAACATCCTCACACATTAAAAACTAAAAAGTAGAAAAAAAATTATAAATAAAAAACTTTTTAAACGCACTAAAAAGTAGAAAATCTTTCTAATATTATAAATGAGAAAGTTTGGATGTATGGATGTATGTTTGTGACAAGTGAATGTGGAAAATACTGGTCGGATTGGGCTGAAATTTAGCATGATGATAGCTCACATTCACGATTAACATAGGCATATTCTTATCTCAAAAAATCCTTTCGGGCTCCACCCCAGTGGCTCTGCAGATCCCCATGTTAACCTTAAGTGTATTCATATTTGAAGGGAATTAAAGAGTTTAGCCAGCTGTTTCAACTAAAAGAGTTGGTTCTATGATATGCAAAAGCATTAAAAATTTATAAGATTTACCAACAGGGTGCAGCACTATTATTTTTTCATTATTTATGAAAACAGCTAATTTTACTAAGCAGCAACAAAAAACTGTGATACACAATGAGAACCGTCAAAGTAGGATCGTTTACGTTTTTCATTTTAAATCTTACAAGTATTTATACTATCCATAAATTTATAAATTACTTTTTACTTTTTAGTGCGTTTAAAATCGTTTTGTTTTAAAAAGTTGTTTTATTTATAAATTATTTATTTTGACACTCTCGGCTCCGCCCCACTGGCTTCCAAAGCGACTGTTATTCTTACAAATACGCCTAAGGTTAGAGTTTATCGTGAAGGTATTTTTTCTAGAGCATTAATTGTATCCAGGATATCATTAGCAAACCATCATAGATGCTCTTTGAGTAAAAGGTGGAAAGGAGAGGACTTGGGTCTATGAATATTGGAGTCACTATTGATGTTTTAAATACATTCTATCCAAAACCTGACATCCGATTGTATCAACATAATCAACATACCATGACAGATTATAATTTAATAAATAGTGCATGGAAGAAGAACTTGGATCCACGATTGAAGAAATTGTAAAAAACATTTCATTTAGAGTAAATGTATTGTGTACATTATGCAAAAACCAATTTAGGCAATCTTTTGGGTCCGTTTCTCTAAGAATAATGTAGCGTTTTTTAATAAATTTAAATTCTTTTACAAAATGGCTGATTATACAATTATACTGGATGAATATATTTTGATCATACTTGGGAAATTTATTTATTTCATTCTAAGCTGTTAACAGTTTACTGAGAAACATATTTCACTACCCCCCCCCCCATAACAGCAAACCTACAAAGGTTTAAGTACTTGTTAAACCTAATGCTATTTAAATAGGGAATCAATCTGACATGTCAAGGGAAATATCTATGTAAAAATTCATTTAGGAGGGCATTTGCTTAATCTACAGGATTGCTGTGGTGGGGACATTTTTATTTTAAGATACTACCTATAAAGTCAAAAGATATGCTTAATTTTTTACCTAAATATATTACTCAACCCCGCCCCCTCCTATCGTACTTAGGATATCCTTATACTTACTTTTAATTTCCTTTCATTCATCTAACTGTTATAACCCTACCTCTCATTTTCAAAGGATTTGACCTAATTTCTCTCAATTTATTAATTCACCTAAGCCTACAGTATGTTTGGGGAGCTAACTGGTATAATGAAAGAGCGCAGGACTTTGGTCTCAGAGGTCCTGGGTTCAAATCCCACCAATCCCCAATTGATTTTACCTAAAATTTAATACAGCACTATAACGATTCCGCGCTAGAGACTACGTTTAGAATGTGAAGGTGGGACAATAAACCAACAATACATTACTTAGACCAATCTGTACACAGGATGTTCCTGTACTCACTACTGCTACTGCTGCTGACCCCGCGACTCCTTGGACTCACCCTGGTGCCGAGTGACGCGGATATCTGCGACATCACCGCCTGCGACGCTCTGCGGAGGATCAGGGAGGAAGTGGCGAGTGGAGGACTGCTGGAACCACTCAAGCCTCCGGTACATGAGGAGTCTCAGGAAGACAGGATAAACCGAATAGAGCGAAGACTGCGGTCTGTGGAACAACCATGTGAGTTGTTAGAAATGTTTAGTTAGTTAAATGTAAGGGGACACTTCCATATCTGTTGGCACTAATATCGAATGAGTACTTTTTATATCGAATGAGTACTTTTTATCGATATATCGATTAATCAATATATAACCTAACCTAACCAACCAAACTATCGAATGAGTACTTTATATCGATATATCAATTGTTTGATATATCGATAAAAAGTACTCATTCGATATTAGTGCCAACAGATATGGAAGTCTGCCCAAATGGAATAGACAAAAGATGGTTTAGTATATTACTAGCTGTTGTACCCGTGCTTTGCAACGGGAAGAGAACACAAAATAGAAACCTTTTATCTTTACATCTGTTGCATATAATAGTTTCACATCCGCCAACGCTTTTAGAAACAAAATTCAACTTTTATGGCCTTAATAGAAACGTTTAAGTTATGACTTTTAAATCTGGTAAGTAGTGGATACCACCATTTTGGTTTTTATTAATTTAATTTTAAATTTTGTGTAGGCTGATATGAGAAAACTGACCAAATCTTCTGATAAAACTTTGACATTCATGATCACTTCATCTCCCTTAATTACATATATTTTAATTTATTATCGACATTTTAAATTTCAATTTTGAAGTTGCAAAAATACTAATTATTAAATTTAAATGAATTTTTATTTATTTCACTCTTCTTTATATTGAATCACAAATCCTTCCATCTTCAGTTACTTCACTCACAATAAATTATTAGCAAAACTAAGTCAGCTGTTATAAACTTTATAAATATTGCTGTGCCTTATAAATTCAGTCTTTTGAAATATTAAAGAAACTATATCTATAGGTACTATAAAAAATGTTTAACAAATAATTTAGCATTAAAGACAGCAGGCAAACCTAATATGATTATCAAAGCATCAAGTACTAAAAAATGTAATAGCAAATACAGTATATGTTTCATTGCATCTCTGATTCTACACTCTACAAAAATATCAACAAACAACTTAAAAAATATATATATATATACAAACCAGTTCTTTTCATCAGTTCCATCATCCATTGCCTTTACATTTTCACACTTACCATTAAGTAAACATAGTAACAGATATTTCATTGATTTTAGAAACAAAAGAACACTGTGTACTGCTTAGTTTTATGATATTTTCCTTGGTTTAATTTAATCAGTGGTGTGGCAAAACAAATAATAAATGTATCAAATAAATTAAATGTGAACTGAAGCTATGTTAAGATAAAATAAGAGTATTTTGTATTACCATTTGATAATTAAATATATAGGTAGTTACACATATAGGCTACAACAGATGTTAGAAAACAAAAATCAACGGTACAATTTAGTTATTGGTAATATTCTTTAGTTTAATTTAAGCATAGGTTTAGCAAAACACGATAACTTTAACTTACCTAAATATACATATAAAAAACAATGTGATGTGCAAGTTATCTTAAGTTAATCTAATACATGTTAAGCAGTTAGAATTTATTTAAAGTAGCCTCCAAATTTATACAAAACATCTATAGCCTACATTGTAATTGTCATACTGTTTCCATGAAAACGTATCAATAACATTATTTTCATAACTTAGACACTTTAAAAAATCCAAAGCAGAGCCGGAGTTGATACAGCAACGATTATAGAATATTTTTTTTATAATCATTGACATAGTTTTAGAATAAATAATCCATGATAAAAGGTTAGATTAAAATAAACCTACCTCATAGTTATAGAAAATATTATATTTAATTTCTTTGTCTGAAATATGCAGTTTAGCAGTTCTTCTTGTTTACATTTAAATGTCAAAGCAAATGTAAACAAACATTGTTAGTGTTCTCATCACAGCCATGGAGACCAATCAATATTTACTTTTAAAATGTTCACCTAAGAACTTTTAAAGCCAAAGGGGCAAAGCCTACGGTCAGTATCGAAATGTGAATAGTCCTATAATGGTCCTTGGTATGGTAGCTATATTTTTGTAAAATTTAAGCCCAGTTGGTTCAGTAGTTTTTGCACCTATTAGTAATACACATACAGACACCATTAGATTTTTATATAATAGTATAGATATAGATAGCTTTCATTAGTCATCAAATGTCAATCCTTACAGTACGCCTATAGTGTATATGATGGATCTTGTCTCCCTGCCCTTTAACTACCGTCCCATTCCTTAAACCCCCAAAGACTCCCAGGTTGACGGAGGGTCAGGAGACAGGTTTCATCATACAGACTATAGCATTCGAAATCAGACAGATTGTATGTAGCATACTTCATACATGTTAAGTTATTTAGTTGTTTCCATGCAACTGTTCCACTAAATATTATGTAATATTTTACCTTATAAATTTCTCAAGCATTTTGTTGTGACTCGAACTAGTAGCCTGGTATTGTTTGTATTGTTAAATTCTCGCACTGGATAAGATGACGTAATCAATTAATAACTAAAAAGTGAACTGCTTTCTTGTATAATAATTTGTGATGAACAACAACTTGAAGAAATGCATAATGTAAAAATTAAAATATAAACATCTGCCTTGAACATTATTTTTAATTACATGCTAACTAAGCCATATGTTGTTAAGACAGATTCAGGGATATGACACATTTTTAGAATGTTAGTATGACAAATGTGGCTATTCAATTTTTCACAAAGACACAAATTAGACTATTGCCTAAGACCCCAATAGTTGGGGATGGATAGGTTTAGTTTTGAATTTTCCTTTGCCTTCGTTTATTTAGGGATCGGTCAGTTTGACATCAAAATTATTTAAAATAGTTAGGTATAAATAAATGATTTTTCAGTTATAAAACAAAGCTGACTTATTGAATTTCATTTTCAATACGTGCATTTTTTCCCAGGTATTGGCAAGTATTCTACTCTCTTAAATCGTATCTATAAAGTCCCACACGGGCTTAAGAAATATTTTCTAAACGATAACAGATAAATCAATGAGATTTCGTAAATCAAAACGGCACCTAAAAATCTAATTTTTGAAGGAACTGTCATTTTTCTGCGGTATCATTGGGACGTCCTGCGAGCAGTCAGAAGGAAATCTTTAATAGGAGCATAGGTTGATATGTATATCGAATTAAAGGGCTTTATTAGCAGAATACAATTCTGCGAATTTGAACCCAAACGGACAACCAAGTAAAAAATGGTAGCCGTTCAAGGATATCTTGAAACCTGTCATTTTGAATCTTAAATCTTTAAGTGGCTGCCAATTTTTACTCAATTGATCTTTTGAGCTTAAATTTGCGGTATTGTAATCTACCAAAAAAGACCTTTAATTGTATGTGCATATCGACCTATGCTTACGTTTACGATATTCTTCCGATTCCTAACGGCCCTGAGGAGGTAGCGTTGGTAATTCAATGAATATTTTAATTGCTGTCATATTTTACTCGGTTGACCGGTTCAGTTCAAATTTGCGGTATTATATTCTGCTGGTAAAGGCCTTTACTTCGATGTACATATCAACCTAAGCTTCTATTTAAAATTCCCTTCTGACTGCTTGCGGGACTTTCCCATGATATTGCCAGAAAACTGATAGTTCCTTCAAAAAGTAGATTTTTAGGTGTTGTGTTGATGTACCTAATCTTATTAATTTATCGGTTGTCGCCTAGAAAATGTTAAGCCCGTGCGAAACTTTGCAGTAACGTAGCCATTGGGAGGTCCTGGGGGTCCGGACCCCCCTTCCGGTCTGAAATATAACATTGTTTTGTTAAATTAAATGTAAAATTATATAATCATACTTGACGTTGGGGTTGATTATTTTCAATGCCAAGAGAGCTAAAAAAGACCGTATTAGGGCCTATATTTTTAAAAATTCTCCCGGACCCCCCGGTTAGTTGACCTCTCCTATTTTGAAATCCTTGCAACGTCATTGGACTTCGTATACACCCTTTATAACTAGCAGCGAAACCCGGCGTTTCCCTGTTCATAATCAAAGTGCAATGCACAATAATGGCTATAAAAACTTAACTTGAAATCAACAATTTCATCGAAGTGTCTGGTATCGCTCAGTTCATATTAGCAAAATTAATTTTACTTCCCCTTTCATACACACCTACCTGCATTTAAATCTTCAAAATGTACATGCCCTTCAAATTTGCATCACGTATTCATTTTCCCAAAAGCAATACTTCTGTATAGGGTAATTCCTGGGTTTGTTGTTCGACGAGAACTTGTGTTTCAAATCCCACATTGATTCTGTCTGTAGAAAGATCAGTTCAGGAATAATTTTCTTCTGCGCCAACTAGCAAAATTTTCAAACAAAGATGTACTTTTTACTGCTTACTACGGTGTACTTTATCCACACATGATATATGCAGATGCACTATGGGGAGGTTAAAGCACAAGAACCCATTTCCTTTTTCGCCTTCAAAAGAGAGCTATCAGAATAATTCACGGCCTTCCCTACAAACATACTTGTAGAGCTGAATTTAAATCATCCGCAATTCTAAATTTTCCCTGTATTTACATTCTAGAATTCCTCACTTTTCTGAAGTCAAATTATTCTCATTTCCACACCACAACCACCCACTCATATCTGCTTCGCAATACTTCCAATCTGAGAATTCCAGCCCATTCAACCACATTCTTTGAAATACATCTAAACTATAATGCCATCAAACTGTTCAATGCTCTCCCACTTCAAATCAAGTCCACACCAGATCCGGGATGCTTCAAAAGGCACTTGAGGTCATTTCTCGTGGGTAAAGGCTACTACAGTGTCCGCGCCTTTCTCGGACAGTCCTCATGAATTTTAATTATTTTTAAAGGTAGTTAATAGTTGTGTTTAGTAAATTTGACTTGGCTAATGCATTTGTAATATTAATCTAGCTAAATAAATGAGTTATTGAGTTATACTTAGACGTTCATACTATTTTTATTTGCTTAACTAACGAAACACTTGAAGCTCTAACCATTCGTTTGCAAAGCGTTGTTGGCCCTCTATGGCTGAAATCTGGAAAACTGTGATATACTGTAGAACGGCTTTTTAGCATTTTTACTCACGGATATTCATTGAAATCTCGAATAGCCACAACCTTCCTTTAATGAGACATTTCACTATTTATTTGGGACACTAATGTTATCAAAGTAAATTAAACACCAATAAACAACATATACGATCAGCTGGTCCATAGTGTTATATTACATCTAATAATAAACGTTGAACAAACCAGCTACACAATTAGCATCGATTTAAGAAACAAACTCGGTTTTATCCAGAGATAAATAGATGGATGACATCGAACACGATGTTAACATTGACCTAGCATACTGCAAGTAGATTTACTTTTGTAAAATTTGAAACGTTGTTTGGCGTGTGTTCATGTGTTTGGATGCGCTGATCTAGGCAAAATATCACTTTTATTTCAACTAAATATCTTATATTTTGAATAAATGAATAGGGAAATTAGTATGTACATAGATTCAACGAGGTTGGGTAATTATCACAGATATTGGATAATAAACATAGATTTTTTTTATTTCCTTCTTCAAGTGACAAGTTCTTATTCCAAATGAATGTTATTTTAACTAAACGGCTGTTTCAAAACAAACTATCTGTTATTGTTTTTATTTTTCTTTGTTTACTAATTTATTTAGCAATTAATGCAGTGAAATTGATATAAAGGATAGGACGGACGATTTATTTAATGATGTAAGGACTATGTCGGCATGCCACATTTTTGGTGAGTAATGCAAATGTCAACTGGTGTGGTAGGTTATTGCAGATAAAAAAAAACAATTTCAATCCTTAATTTTCAAATTCTGTATTTATTCAATCTAGTCACAGTTGTCTGGCCAGTATTAATATAGTATTGAGGTCAGTGGAAGTGTATAAGCCAGCAGAGTGCAGTATTGCTCTCCAGGTTTCTGACTCATTTAACACAACCACTGCTCACTGGACAAGCAGAAATTGCTGAGTTAAATAAATCAGACAACTCAGCACTATACAGCCGAGCTTTAATTTAATAACAACTTTTAAATTGTGTATACACTTTTTATCAAGAACATTTCTGTGAATAAACTGAAATTTTTACTTAAGTTTTTACGAGCGTAAACGAGAGAAAAATATATGAAAATTTCGTATACTGTATATTTGTTTTTTTTTCTTTAGAAGAAAAACCTAAGTAAGAAAGCTATACAATTTAGTTTTCTGCTTAATATACTATTGATGATGTTATTCGATTTAAATATTATGTTGTATAGTTATGCACTGTTACATCTCATTTATATGAAAGAAAAATCCTTTTGTTACTTATTTATTTTAACTTCTAACTCTTTCCTCCAAATACCTGTCATATTTAAAATAGGAGGCGGGTACACTTCCATATCTGTTGGCACAAACAACCGAATGAGTAATTTTGATTATTCGATTGTTTAATTCGATATATCGTGTTGTTAGTTAGGTTAGGTTAACCTTACCTAGCTTACCAAACGATATATCGAATAATCGATATATTTATCGATATTTTCATTCGGCTGTTTGTGCCAACAGATATGGAAGTGTACCTCTGCAAAGATTGTTTACTAGGTCTGTAAACATCCCGAAATGTATCAAGTAGTTCAGCCATTGGTATGTAGTAAATTTTCCTAGGTAAAACAAAGTTAGATACCTTTTTGGGGGATACAGGTCCAATGTATGCTAGAAGATGATCCCTTCTGGCCTCCTCAGTTCCATCACTGTCATACCCTTTTAACTTGCACATCATAAGGAAGTGAGCTTCATAATCCTCCCAGTTCGATTTTTCATCATAAAGTTCTATATTGAAAACTTTTCCATTCTCCTTTGCATCTCTTCTTATTGTTCCAACCAATATCTTGACCTCTTTAGTTTCATTTTTTACTCATCGTCACCAGTGAAGTAAAATCAAAAACTAACTTAAACTCATTTTATCACAGAACAAAACATAACACTATTTTTGTTTACATAACAAAATGAACGTAAAATAATATATGATCAGCTGCTCCCAATATTCATAAAATAATAAGAAATAAAAGAAAATACTCTCGCTGCAGCAAACCTGCAGACTAAGCGAATTTCCATTTACCTGGCAAAATTTCTACTAAAAATATTCCCTTAAAATGTATTTCTTATTGAAACAACATTAATTTTAGTGAGTACTAGGTTAGCTGATACAGAGAAGGTATTGAGGAGAGTTTTTTATTGAAATGTTGATAGCGCATGCTATCAATTTGTTGTATGAAATAAACAAAATTGCCAGCTTCAATATACAAAATAATTTTTTTAAGATCTACAAAAGTGTTAGGAGAGAATTTATGAAATTTTGTGATTTAGGGTCAAAAATGGGAAAATCTATTTTTATTCCATGAAGCCCCGTTCCCATAGTCCAAACATGCTGGTTCGTCGTTCGAATAAACGTAGGTTTACACGTTTGTATTAAATTTCATCAAAATCGGATCATTTTTGCTCGAGTTATCGTATAATACTCGATTTATTATATCATGTATGTATACATTTTACATACATATATATAAAAGTATACATATAAATTTAAAAGGATGGTGTTTTTGGCCTCTAGTGACCACGAAACGAAAAAGTAAATCGGTCCCGCGTCCAGGTCTTACCGTGCCACCTACGGTGATAGCTTATTCCCTATAAGGAAATTCGCTAGTTACTTTTTTATTTGAACTTTTGATTTGAAATAGTTTAATAATTAAGAGTTAGGGCGTTTCAAAGACGAAAACAGTTTGGCAGGTGAGTAATGCTATAAACAAGAAGGAAGTTGGGTTAACCACTTAAGATGGGACAGATAGAAGAGAGTGATGTTAAATGGACGAAGAGTAACCACAAAAACCTCTTCCATGTGACCTACTGGCTTAAATAGACTTTGTATATAGAAATGTATAGGCTAATGAAATGTAGCTAAATAAGTGCTCATGTTACCCAAAATATATTCATTTGATACTCATTCTTCACGTATCTTTAATTTGAATAACCAATTTGTTATTTGATCGGTATTTAAATGTGATATTATAATATGGATTAAGAAAGAATGTTCTATGATCAACGAAGAGTAACGTTCTTCTTTTGAAACACTTGGTGGAGTTTCAGCTGAATTTGTAAATCGAATAATGTGATTGGCAACATTGGTGCGTTTTAACGAGAATACACGTTTTCTAAATAGTTTTATGGAATTAATACCAAGATACTATAAAATGTCTTAGATAAAATAGTTGCAAGTATTTACCAGATAAACATTTATAATACGTTTATAGTTAATAGTATAAATAATTAAATAATTAAAACTTTATAGTCTCTTTTACTAAACAAAGCAAATAAAATAAAATTTTAAATAAAATAACTCAGAACATAAGATAACATAACTCAGAATAAGATAGCTCAGATCCATGGTCAAAGCAATGAATTCGATCCTACAAATCACACCAGAAAATATGTTCATGTTAATTTGTATTTGGGAAATCGACATCGGTTAGTCTCTTTACTGTTTGACGAATAAATAAATATAGCTTCAATTTTGCGAGTGTGATAAAACAGCGTGCAAAAAAAAAGTACTTTAACCAGAAACAAATGTTATAAGTAAGGAAAATGTCCTATCCCTAGAAGAGTTAAAGATACCAGTCATGCGATAGGTCCTGGATAAAAACTTCACGTAAGAACGGGACTAAAAGGATTAGGAACCTGATAAGTGAGGCAGTGTCCAGCTTAAACGGACGAGGTAACCCAAAACCTGGATTTGTGAAGTGGCTAAACATTTATCCCCAGCCCAAATCGATGTTTGTTGTGTACAGCTTTTCACCAAAACGACATTTTTTATTTGGGCTTAAACGTTATATTTTTTAAAGAATACCGGTAGTGAATTATTTTACTTATTATCAAATTGATCAGCATTGTCACCTTTAATATGTTAAATATAGATAACAATCTACTTACGTATGCCAGAAGGTGTCAATTCATGGTGACTTATGGAGGAGGATCGCTTGTAGTACCGCAGTTGTGAGAGACCGTGTCGCTGTCGTCCAGAAACATTCGCTCTCAGCTGCTGGTGACAAGAATTAGACGAGTTGTCCTCTAGTCTGTATGTGTTACATGATGTAGGCCTACTTTACTTTACTGTGTAGTATGGAGACGACTTATGGAGGAGGATCGCTGGTACCGATGTTGTGAGGGACCGTGTCGCTGTCGTCCAGAAACATTCGCTCTCAGCTGCTGGTGACAAGAATTAGACGAGTTGTCCTCTAGTCTGTATGTGTTACATGATGTAGGCCTACTTTACTTTACTGTGTAGTATGGAGACGACTTATGGAGGAGGATCGCTGGTACCGATGTTGTGAGGGACCGTGTCGCTGTCGTCCAGAAACATTCGCTCTCAGCTGCTGGCGACAAGAATTAGACGAGTTGTCCTCTAGTCTGTATGTGTTACATGATGTACTTTACTTTATTGTGTAGTATGGAGACGACTAATGGAGGAGGATCGCTGGTACCGATGTTGTGAGGGACCGTGTCGCTGTCGTCCAGAAACCTTCGCTCTAAGCTGCTGGCGACAAGAATTAGACGAGCTGCCTTCTAGTCAATATGTGCCTAACGATATACGCGTCATGTAAGTAAAATCAGATTCTGTATATTAGGTAATGACAGAGTACGTAGAAATAGTCGGAAAGTGAAATAACATACGTCTAATAACACTTAAAACATTAATCACGTGTATATTTATTTATTTATTTATTTATTTATACCAACGGTCAAACCAATACATAAATATGACAAAACTTATATAGACTAAAAAAAAAATAGACATTTTTGATGAAATTTTAGCCAACTTGAAGTACATTCAATAAATAGATTAACAATGATAACAGAAAGATATAAGAAATAACAAGGTATAGATATAACAAGATATAGATATAACAAGATGATATAACGATAAAACAAGCAACAACAGTGTAAATAGGAAATAAATATAACAAAATATAGTAAATAACAATATAAATATAAATATAAAAAGTAACAATGAAGCATAACACGGACAAGAACAACAAAACAATAATGATAAATCTACGAGGAACGCAAGCTGCTAACGAGTTTTTTTTAAACGTTTCATTGTTCATGCTGAACAAGTCCAATTGACCAGGTAGGTTGTTTGCCAGACGTTGCAGACGAGGAAGTGCACTGTGGTACATGTACTGTGTTGAGTACTGCCGCCTCGCAAACAGCTGGGTATGGCGAAGGCTACGTGATGTGCGGAAGTCTAGTTCCAAGAGCAGGTCGGGAGCATCAATGGAGGATGTGATCAATTTCTTCAGGAATAAGACATCATTTACCTCACGTCTGGTAGAAAGAGGCAACAGGTTCAACTGGAGTTGCAGATCATGAACAGGAACAGCACGGTATTGCATCCCCAAACGTAGACCAACCAGGCGAACAAAACGGCTTTGAGTGTTTTCCAGCCTGGCGATCTGACCAGACTGGTACGGATTCCAAACTGTGGAGGAAAACTCAAGTATGGGTCTGACAAGATGGATATAAAGAGTTACCAGTGCCGATACTGAAAATCTGTCATGACTGACCCTGGTGATGAAATTAAGTGCTGAGTTGGCCTTCTTGCAAATGTAGTTAATGTGCTCTTGAGGATTGAGGTCAGGAGAGAGTATGATGCCTAAGTCTTTGACCTTTGAAGAACGTTGAAGTTGCTGATCTGCTAGTTTATACGGATGAATAATAGGATTATTAGATCTGGTGAAGGTTACCACAGAGCACTTTGAGACATTCAAAGACATTTCATTCATCTGGCACCACACTGACAGTAAATCAATACTATTCTGTAGAGCCTCGCAGTCTCTCACATGTGAAATCTCTCTGAAGATCTTGGCATCATCAGCAAAAAGCAGTACATTTGAATCCAAATGCTGAACCAAATCATTGATAAATATGGTGAACAAGGCCGGGCCCAGAAGCGATCCCTGAGGAACCCCGGAAATAGCAGGAAATGGTTGAGACAACGAGCCAGCCACTCGCACCTGAAGAAACCGATCCTGGAGGTAGCTCTCTAACCACATTAGAAGGGGTCCATTTATTCCAATGGCTCTAAGTTTAGCAATCAGATGTTTGTGGCTAACTCGATCGAAGGCCTTGGAGAAATCCGTGTAAACAGCGTCAATCTGGTGGGAATTTAAGAAGGCAGTAGTAACATTACTCTGGAAGGACAAGAGGTTCGTAGTGGTTGAGCGTCCCTTCATAAATCCATGTTGTTCTGCATTAATCACACTCTTCAGAGCGAACGACAATCTCTTCAGCACAAGCGATTCAAAAATCTTTGCTAATGTGGACTGGATAACAATAGGGCGATAGTTCCTGACATCAGCAGGAGATCCGGACTTAAAAATTGGAGTTACATAACCATTCTTAAGATTTGAGGGAAAGACACCAGCAGCCATGAGTGAGTTGAAATATATGGTGATATGAGGTGATAAAACACTGCTACAGAACCTCAAGACCAGTGGTGATATGTCGTCGGGTCCTGCACCTTTGCTTGTATCAAGTGAATTCAGCTCATCCTCCACCTCCGAACAGCTAACATAACATGATGAGATTGAGGTGATTGCGTTAAGCTCATAATCTGGTGGGGTAGATGACGGGGACTTATAAACAGAGGCGAAAAATTTGGCAAAAAGATTGGAGATATCCTGGTGACTATCAGCAACTTCAGCATCCAACTTCACTCTTGACGGCAGGGAGGGCAGTTTCTTAGTAGAATTCACATAACTCCAGAAGGCACGAATATTGGTTTTTATAGATGAATCAACAGTCTCGATGTAAGCTGAGTAGCATTCCCTCGTCATCCTCTTGCATATAGTTCGAACACCGCAAAACTGGAGATATATTCGGTCATCGAGACTCTGCTTGAAGCGCTTGTGTATAATATACTGTTAACTATCAAGACGGGAAGATGGTAAGTGGTGATCGATTTTTATTGGACACTTCAATCATCATCAGACCCAATAGGGAATGACAAAAATCTTGAATGGTGCCCTACTTATATCTTATTGGCTACCGGCTACATTTCCAAAATGGCTACTCAATAGGAAAAAAATGAGGATAGTCTGTGAATTTTAAATAATTGTAAAAAGGATGTGTAATGAATTCTTGGGAAGAATTACTTTTATATTTATAAGTAAAAATATAAAAATAGAAATAAGCTGATTAATGAACGAAATAATTTTGACTCCAGTTGTACTTATAGAAATGTATTGGCCGGTCTTCCTGTAGCCAATAGGATAGTAGGACGCCATTAAAATTTCTTGTCATTCGCCCATTGGGTCTGATGATGATTGGAGTGTCCAATCGAAATCAATCTAAACTTACCATCTGTTATTTGATTTATTTCCCAACGGCATAGCCACTTTACAATGAAAATACACAACTTTAAATAAATAGTAACTAGTTGTAACAAATAGTGAACAGTAACGAATGTATATTTATGTACATAAAGTATTTTATTTTTATTTACCATCTTGTGAGTTAACAGTATAAGCGTAAATATATGTGTTAAGTGTTATTAGACGTATCTTTTATTTACTTTCCGTATTTCCAATGTACATTTTCTTTACCTGGCTTCGAGGTAAAAAATAATTTAATGCACTTATATTATGACTTATGACTATCATACCCTTTTGATGGAATGTATTTCAATTTGGAAGAATGATTTCAATTAGTACACAGTACATAAGAAAGTTTACTCCTGAGTTATAAGAGGTTTAAAAACTATTTTACCAACAATTGTTTCTAAATAATAAATTTCTGTTTCAGAGACTTAGGTATCAATAAAATAACCTCCTTGAATCGAGATGCGTTCAAAGGTCTACACAGGCTTGTTGAGCTGTAAGTAATAAGAAATTATTTTAAATCTGCACTTAATTATAAAGCTTAAGGCTTTGTATTTTGACCATATAAAACGCATCCATTGGAAATCTTTACCGTATAATTTCTTTCTGTTGGTTTCAGAGACATGTTTGACAACCGCATTGACTATCTGCCGTCGGTCGTCTTCGATAACTTAGACAGTTTGACCCATTTGTAAGTTTTTGGTTTCCTAAAATCTGTCAAAACTGTTGCTATTGTTAGTGATTTGTTACATAGATAACTCAAAGAATCGTTAGAAAAGTAAATAGTATTGTTACAACTTGTATTAATTAGTTATGTGTTCCTGCAGTTTTACTGAAAAATTCAAATGTAAGTATTGAAGTATACATAAATGCAGTATGAAGATAGTCTTATACCTAATAAAGAAATTGAGATTATGTAACTAGATCCATTATTTTTTAGGAGACTTCATCGAAACCGATTGGAAGAACTTCACTCGAAGATATTTCACAAACTGGCAAACCTGGAGACACTGTAAGGCTTTATAAAGGGTAACTTGAGATTAAAATGCTATTGATATTATCGTCAAATATTTTGGAAAATGTTAGGTGCACGAATTACAAACCACCATTTACAATCACAAAAAGATAGAATATCTTTAAAAGGAAACATTTAAAGATTCTGGCAGTGTATTTTATATATGTATCTTCCAAATGAACAGCTTTGATTACTCTGGGATACAGGAAAGTAATTTAGGTAGAATGTCAACACAGTAAAATAAGATTTAAACTAACTACTTTAACTGCATAAGCCAATTAATGAAAATGTCACCACCAAGAGAAATATTAAATCCGTTATTCACATGGAGAAATGTGTTAATTTGCTCTTTTTTAACTCGCATTTATATTATTTATGTCCTTAATATTTTTTTAGTTATGAGTTTCCCTTCACTAAATACCAATTGTCTTGGGAGAAATCTCTTTTTATTTTATTCATGGTAACAAGCATCTATTGAATAAAAAAGAGCCATGTGTCTCTTTGTAAAAAAAAATACTTTGTTACCAAATCAAATCATTTATTTAGCCAGAGTTTTAACAAAACAAGTTGCATTAGCCAAGTCATATTATTTTTTAAAACATGCCTTACATAGATCTACAAATATATGCAAGCCTCAACTGCAAGCCTTACTGCAAACCTCAATCATATTAGAAACACACACATACTATTTTATATACATATTAACCACATTAATAAATTGTCAGCTAGCAAAGTTTTTATCATTTTAGTATACCTAATCTTAATGCAATGAAATAGTACAGACTATTTGTTAGGCTACATAAGTATAACTAGGTTGCCTCGATCCTCTACATACCTATTTATGTACAGTGTTTCTCATCATCAAAGTACTGTAGCTTGTTGACCTTACTACTTTTCTTGTTATCTTTTTTTGTTCTCTTTTCATTATTCATTTTATTGTTCAACTATTACTGGGAATTATTTTTGTAGAGTACAAAGCTCACTCGAGTCGTTCAAAGTTGTGTGAAAACCATCATTTCTTTATATGTTAATATATTGTACCATCATAGAACGCGCCCTTGCACTGAAGTATTAGCATTGACTTTACCTGTCGTTAGCAAGATACCCATTAGATAATGTACGTACAAACTACAGAGAAACTCTAGAACTAGAACATTTTTCAATGGTAAGTATTTTCTTTATTAATTCTTTTGAAATAAATTTCCATATTCTCTGGAAAGAAACTAGATAGCTAAGAAGCTAAGTTGGACGGATAAGAATCGTGATCAAGCACTAGCAAACTTATTGCAAGAACCATGAAGTGGTCCAACAAAAAGTCTAATTAATCTGCGAAACATCAAGTGAAAGCACTCATCCTTTCGTGGTGTTCTTCAATTTTCTCAGTCTATCAAAAGGTCTTTTCCTCTCAACTAATGTTCCACCTCTAGGAGACTATGAACAAATATTCCTAACAAATAGCTAATCCCTACTACCAAAATGCAGGGATTTGTCTTCCAACTCGCTACGCCACCTGAACGGAGCTCTGTTCAGAGGCACTCCTCGCCTCGTGGTGCTCCACCTAGCCTCCAACGCCCTCGAAGCTCTTCCCGAGCCTCTGTTTCGAGGCCTCGTGAGGCTGGAGGAGCTCGACCTAGCTAACAACGTTCTGCTAGAGCTGCCTCTCAATATCTTCAAGGGCCTCACTAACTTGAGGCGCCTCAAACTGCATGACAACCGACTGAAGCAGTTACCACCGGGTATGTTTAGTGACTCTTTGGTCTAACTTGAATAAAGATGGCTAAGTAGTATAATTTTCGTCTAGGAATCAATCTTTGTAGATTCGACCATGGGAAGAGTCGGAACGATTGTTGATAAAGTTAACATTAAAACTCTTCTATTTTCCACAGTATGTTTTATTGGATATTAAAGTACAGTCCTCTCCTATGTTTTCTCAGGGGTGTTTACAGATCAGCACTTCTTGGATGTTCTGAGTCTACGTCGCAACAGACTCACTTTTGTCAGACCAGGACTGTTCGACAACCAAAGATATCTCACCCATCTGGAGCTTACTGGAAACTGGATATCAACGGTAATGTATGAGAAAGTAGTAAGTACTACTAGACACTTACAAGTTTCAATGTTCATACTTGTAAGTGTCTAGTAGTACTTACTACTTACTCAATATTGTATTTACAACTAGTTTCTGAAGATGATCGGTCAGCCAAAGACTTGGGTTGTAAGAAATAACGAATGAGTTGTCTTCATAAATGAAGGACGGCGGGAGCAGGGCAAGATTGTTAATCAAGGACCAACTCCAAGAAGTTACTGGGTAGAAGGTGATAACGGGGCTACATTAAGAAGAAATCGCCGCCATCTGAAACCACCAAGATTCAACAGAACAATTCCCAGTCAGTTCCATCAAGGCCAGACGGGCCAGTACAACTAAATTAAAGAGTTGAAAGCTCTTAGCAAGGAACAAAAATTATATTACAAACTCCACCTAAATCTTTTTGTAATTGAAATTGTAAATAAAATCTTGAAGTACTGTATGATGGCCCTCTGTAGTGGTAGTAAAACACAATAATAGAAAGGCAATTTGGAGCACATAATGAATACAACATATAGGAAGTATTTTAGTCCATGCTCATGCATGCATTACAAATCTACACTGAGATTTTAAAAAGAGTTCAATTAAAACAAATATTTTAATACATTCCCTTGTACCGTTGTGGATTTTTAGGGTTTTATGGTTACAATAGATTGTCCCCAAATGGGTCTGGTGTTTACCGAGGTGACAGTTCAAAATTGTCACTGTATTGTGTTTGAATTCACTTTTAAATTATACTGTATGGTTGTAAATATATTGATTAGTGTCGGAAGGCGTCTTCTACTATATTCATATAAAGGTTTTGTCTACCATTTCATTTAGAAAACACGCAGTGGACGACTTGAAACAGTTTTTTAATATTCAAAAATTGTCTTATTCATTTCTAAACGATTGTGGTGTGTGTTTATAAATAATAATACTCGTCTGCATTTTCTACAATTCGTCAAATGGTCTTGGTAATAATTTACGTTTATCAAGTAATAATACCTTTTAATTACTCTTAGATATAATATATTTTACTGTTTCCCGAATTGTTGTTTTGTACTCTTGAACAAACAAACGTTTTGACTCTTGTTCCCTGCTTATTTAGCTGAGTGGCCAGGAGTTCTTAAAGCTTCCATCCCTCCGGGAGCTCCACCTGGGACAGAATTACCTGGAGAGTATTCCCGAGGGAACGTTCCGGGAGTCAGGACAGCTGGAGAAGTTATTCCTGTTCTCCAACAACCTTGTGTCCCTGGGTCCCGGCACTTTCACAGGACTCGGTAACCTGACGACCCTCCTGCTCAACAACAACCTGCTTCAACTGATGGACGAGACTATTTTTGAGCCAGTTATCAACCTCAAGAAGTTGTAGGTTTGCTGAGTATGAGTAGTTTTTAAGGGTATATTTTTATTTATTCTGTGTATGGCAACCCAATGACTGCTTTGTAGTGTCAAGTTTGTTTACAAGGAAACTTTACGTATATCCTCACCAAGGAGGCTCTGCCATAAGACGATCATTTTCTACCAAGTTTACATGTTGTTCTACGAATAGATTAATAACAAAAGCCAATACTGAACCATTAAGTTTAACATTTAAGTGTCAAGTAAATTTTTACTCTCAGTCTTAAGTATAAAAATATAAGTATGTGTTGGTGTTCTCGATGCGGAATACACATTATTAAAATCTTTTACTCAAGCTTCAAACTATTATCTTCGGGGCCAAATGAAGCAAGCAGAAGTATAACTGCATGTTCTTCTATTTGGGTATATATGTACAAGGATAGCATGGATATAAGTTTGTCTTGAAACCGTTCAAAAAGAAGTGTTTTAACAAAACTCACTTAGAAATAAAAGCATTGTTGTTTGTCTAAGCACAATTCAATCGAAATACTATGCTTGTTAACAAGTTTAATATTTTATGTTAATAGGCAAGTGGATAGCAACAAGTTCCAGTACCTACCCACAGACTGTCTGGAGTTTGTACCTAACCTTGTGTCGCTAAAGTTGGCCAAAAACCCTTGGCATTGTGATTGTGCCATACTCTACCTGGCAACGTGAGTATATCATTTAATTGTAAAAGCTTATAAATTATAGCTATCTCTACTCAATATCTATAAGAGTATACGAATACACAAAAATGCAATTGTCACCTGTGAGTTTTGTTACAAAGAAGGGGTAGACTTCCGTATCTGTTGGCACAAACAACCGAATGAAAATATCGATTATTCGATTGACATGTTTTTGGTGTCATTGGAAAGAGCGTAACGTGAAGTTGTGCAGGAAACTTTCTTTTTAGGGAAATAATCAGAGAGTGAGGCCCTGAGGTCCTTTAAAGTTTCGTATTTCTCCATAAGATTAACATGGGAAACAAAATTTGTAATGCAACTCCAGCTGTTGTCAAAAATTAAAAGTTAGAAGAGAAACATATGTTAATTTTAAACAGTCAATAAGTTTACTAATTTTACAGTTTGCTTCAAACATTTAAACTGACTTGGTTGAAATGAAATATTTACTACTGTATTTGAATTCGGGTTGGCGTAATTATTACAATGGAAAAAGCGAGAGAGCCTGGATAAGTTGATATATTCTTTTATGTACATCTTGAATATTTCCATAATCTTTGGATCGAATCCTTTAAAGTAATCAGAAATTATGAACGTTATTCCTTTTTAAATAACGCCTCTAATACTTAGAAATTGCTCGAATTCGTGCAACAGGGACACTAGTTATACATTAAATAACTATAGCTAAATAAAGTGGAGCCATTCTGCCAAAATTTAGAAATAAAAATTAACTTAAGAACTTATTTTTTAATTATTTTTTATTAAATTAACCATGAGACTTTATTAGTGTTGCCTAGTTAGGTAAGGTTAAACTAACCAAACGATAATCGAATAATCGATATTTTACATTCGGTTGTTTGTGTCAACAGATCAAGGAAGTCTACTCAAAGTTTTTATGATGAATAAAACTGTATAGGGTACTAAAGCTGTTATTGGAGACTCAATTGAAGTCCTTTCTTTTTACCTATAGTTTAAAGATCTAGCAAAACGTTTTTTCAATTTGTTCCCGGTCCACAATATTGGTAGTCAGCAGGTGGATGCAATTCTACTGGTAATATTTAGATCGATCGCTTTAATTATTCAGAAGCTCTAACTGGCTCGGTTAACACCAAGACTGCTGTGACTCCAGCATGGTCAGACTCACTAGAATACCTATCAAGTATTTAATATGGCATGTTTACAGGTGGCTCCGCACTAACCGTCGCAAGGTGTGGGACTCCAACCCTACATGCAGGGGTCCGGGTGACCTTGGAGGTCGACTGGTGGAGGAGATGACCTTTGATGACCTCTGTGATGGTCAATGGGCCAGCATGGTCAGACTCAATAGAATACCTACCAAGTATTTAATATGGCATGTTTACAGGTGGCTCCGCACTAACCGTCGCAAGGTGTGGGACTCCAACCCTACATGCAGGGGTCCGGGTGACCTTGGAGGTCGACTGGTGGAGGAGATGACCTTTGATGACCTCTGTGATGGTCAATGGGCCAGCATGGTCAGACTCAATAGAATACCTACCAAGTATTAAATATGGCATGTTTACAGGTGGCTCCGCACTAACCGTCGCAAGGTGTGGGACTCCAACCCTACATGCAGGGGTCCGGGTGACCTTGGAGGTCGACTGGTGGAGGAGATGACCTTTGACGACCTCTGTGATGGTCAATGGGCCAGCATGGTCAGACTCACTCCTAGAGTACCTATAAAGTAAAGAAGAAAAAGAAAAAAAAAACAGAAAAAAGAAAAGTAGGTCAGAACAAGTAACATGTTGTTTGATGAAGGCTGGAAACTTCAGCTTCGCATTGAGTGTTGGATCAGGAGTTAACCATTTTAGAGACTGGTGTCAAGAATGAACTGCACGTGTTATTAAAAAATAAATAATTATAAAATACAGAATATAAAATGTGTACGGTACTTTAAAATATAATTTTATAACAAACTGTAAATCTTTGCTTTACGAACCACACTATTTGGTCTTTTTTGTGCACACGTGTAAAACTTAAATGATTAAAACTGTTAAAATTGCCATACACGTTTGTCTCCCTAGAGTACTGTAAGTACATCATCTTTGACCATCAATAAATTACAAATACAATAAGTAAAAAATAAATTGAGCAAGGATTTGTGACTTTATAAATGGACCAAACAGACCCTCCCCCTTCACAAATGAATTCGTGGTGGAAAATCCTATATGTTCATCAATAGAATATTCCCAACATTGAACAAAAGAGAAAGAGAAAACAACATTTATCTGAATGTGAGTCGTGGAGTCATGTTTTAACATTTCGACGATCCAGCCACCCCAACTGTTACAAACATTATCATAACTGATATCACTGGTAAGCTTAATGTAAAACAGCCACTTATCAAACTGTGTCAGTGTTCGTTCACTAAGCATCGTAGTAGGCTCTAAGGGGCTAAGAGACAAATTGTATTGATTTAAATTTCTATTGATTACTATCAATACTTACAGCCATTTATGAATACATACTCAGAATCCACTAAGGTAATTCTAACATCCCATAGCTATTTTTTTTCTGATAAAATAATGTTTCGTTTCGTTAATTTACTTTAAAACCATCATTTTCCGAGAGCAGATAAGTTTCTTGAATATTTAATAGACTAATTTTACGTTTTAAGCTAAGGCTAATATTTCGTCAATTGAAAATCCAACTGAATGGGTTTCAAGAACACACCAAAATTATGTTTGATATGACGAGGTAGAACGAAATCTTTCCGAAAGCTTATCTTGAAGTGGAATAATACGGAAATGGAATACAGTATACTCTTAACTAAATGAGCTTGAAAGCTTGATATATATCTCATTCAACCCCCGCATCCCCTATTACAGTAAAAACGAACCACTTGAAGAAAAAGCCTCCGTTAAATTCAATGGAGAGAACTGACCTATTATAATTCCGATGGTTATCTTTCTTGAATTCACTGTGTCTGTACTAATGTTGTGTCTAATTTACTGCACGCAGACACAATTGTATACATGATTCATATCTTTGTTTATGTTTACAATTATTTTAAATTGTTTATTAAATTATAGAAGTTGTGTCCTTGAAAATTTGAACTCATGACGCTATTTGATAACTTACTAGTATGCCGTTATGGTCCAGTTTGATGTTTTATTTTACACTAGCAGAGTACCCGTCCTTCGTACGGGGTTGGAATATAAGTATAAAATGCTTATTGCAGTTATACTCAAGCTTTGCGTTTGCAATAAGGGTGGACACAGTTTGATAAAATTTGCTTTTTAAAATTTACAGTATTCTATAGTATTACACATTTACCATAGCCATAATGTTCTACCACTTCACCTAAACAATTGAAAAAAATAAATTATCAACAATTCGCAAAATATCACAAATTATTCATGAAATGAAAAACATAAACATAACTGTAAACAATCCTACTTTGACAGTTCTCATTGCGAATCACAGTTTTTTTGTTGCTGCTTAGTTCAAATTAGCTATTTTCATAAATGCAAAAAATATAGTACTGCACCCTGTTGGTAAATCTTATAACTTTTTAATGCTTTTCCATATCATAGAACCAACTTTTTTAGTTGAAACAGCTGACTATATTCTTTAATTCCATTTAAATATGAATACTCTTAAGGTTAACATGGGAAATTACAGAGCCACTGGGGTGGAGCCCGAAAGGATTTTCGAGATGAGAATATGCCTATATGTTAATCGGGAATGTAAGCTATCATCATGCCAAATTTCAGCCCAATCCGTCCAGTGGTTTATGCGTGATTGAACTTCAAACACACAAACAAACAAACAAACACACAAACTATTACATTTATAATATTAGTAAGATTATATAAGTTGTGTCTTTGAAAATGTGAATTCATAACACTATTTGATAACTTACTAGTATGCCATTAGAGTCCAGTTTGATCTAGTTTGATTTTACATAGCATTTAGTGGAGTTCTTTAATACATATAAATATCTCCCCACCTGACCTGAGAGCATCTGTCACATTTTCTAGATATTAAAACCCTACAACTTAAGACAAACCCTAAAACACCGAGTTTACAATTTATTGCTTTGCTAAATCTATTAGTGGTTGGCAGGACTTGAACCAGGGTCTACAGTACAAAAGGCCTGATCTTCAGTACATACACCAGCTATGTCCCAATAGTTGCTAACCCACCGGTAAAAAATGTTTTTTAGCTTTGCCATAGTGTAAATACTCAGTGGTACGGCTCTCTCCTTTCCTCCTTACGTATCTAGATAACAGAAAGGGATGTATATATATTGTAGACAACAACTTATTCAGTATGTGATATCCTCTTTCCTATAAATGCCACAAATTCGCATATTTTCTACCTCTAAAACAATACCATTAACGAAGCAATCTCATAACTCAACTACGGTAAATTCACTAATTCTACAACAATATTAAACTGTTTATTAATAGTGAACTTTTCTATAGTTATTTAGATCCAATCGAAAAAACATGTCTCGATGCTAACCTCACGAGCAAGCTCTTTCCTGTTAATCGTCACATTATAATAAAGATGTTTAAGGGATTCCTAAATACATATTGTGGTCCAAATGTACCTATTGTTTTTTTTATATCAATGTAAGTATACTCGTAGCAGTTTACATATCTGTATTATTGTCAGTGACATAACAACTTGCCTAACGACAACTACCAGCTGTAAAACGAGGTGAACTATAAAACAGTTGTTCGCTCCAACATCTGTGATGGGTTTAAACCTCAAGTATTGTCTCAGTAATTACATATCTATACCGCAAATAAACCATCACAACAAACCATCACAAAAGCATCTCATGATGAATCGACTAATGAAATATCATAAGATACGTCTTAAAAATACATAGAAAACGTTCAAACTGCTATCGTTTGTGACCATTTAAACCCCGTATCATCCTGAAACATATGAGAAGAGAATTAAAGCAGCATTTAGCTTAAATAATATTTGCTTTGCCATTATTTTTATTTTTCCCAGTATTTAATTAGGCTTAATGGTTTAGCTTGTGAAACTAGTTGAAATTATTAGCTATTGTAGTAGCAGTTTTAGCTATTATCAGTGGTAAAGTTCGGACCTTCAGTCCCCCAGGTCTCGGGTTCAAATCCTGCCAATAACCAATGGATTTCCTCGAAGTGATGATCCCGCTACCCCCTCTATAACTAGTCTGAGGAAATCCGGAAGAAATTCTTAGCTAGAACCTAGTAAAAATAGCCATTGTAATGTTATACCACTTATACTTATACTGTATACTGTGTTATTTTAACATGAAAAAGAAATTTCAAACTAACATTTTCTTTCTCTGCTTATACGATTTTATCTTTAGAATAACTGACCAAAGCAACGTTTGTCATGCAATCACATTTTTAGCATATGTTATTTTGGTTCACTGCTTCGATGATATAAAACTTAAAATTCTCAAATTTCGAAATCACTCCTTTTCCCACATCACCGAACCTAAAATCCCACAACACCGAATAGTCTCTGTTGAAGTGGACGTTAAACACGTTGAAAGGTAATTAAGTGTTAGATTTAACAGTAATGAGGTAATGTTGCCTTTGCCCTTTGTTGAGAGTTCATTGTTCATCAATTGAGTGCAGTTGGATCGCTAAAGCTTCATTGGCTGTTCAGTGAAGAGTTGAATGATAACAACATAGTTCTGTCGGTTTGAGTTTGAATTGTTCAAGATTAAAGGATTATTTATATTAGTGTTAGTGGTAAGGTCGATTCGTTTCCTATCTTGATTTATAATACACGAGTATACTTTGATAATTCATCAATATTGTTTGACACTTTAAATATAATGAGAAGACAAATTTGTAACCCGTTAAAATCGTAATATATAAGTACATCCAACGTTTCACTTTACCTGTTAGTGGTTAAACAGACAAACATGACAATTATATAAGTTTAACGATATATACATCGTTATCTGAAATTTTTGTAATATATGTATTCAAATTTATTTAAACACGATATAAACTATATAGTTATATTAATTCCATAATGACGATCTATAGTTAACAATGAGTAATTATCTCCTCATAAAAAATGTGTTACAAAATATTTAAGGATCAATGGTTGGTAAACAGTTTAAAAATAGTTTTTTTAACTCAAAGGCCTCTGAAATGCTAAACATCCTAGGGTTAAAGTGACAAAAGATTTAATTTAGCAGGAAATATATTTAAAAATATTATTGTTAAAAGGATTTTCCCAGTCAATAGTAATACGTAGTAAATGTTTTTCTACTACTTTAGTGTTTCTACAAAGGAAATAATTGAGATTCCTGAAGGACTTAGAGATAAAGTCCATTCATTTCCTCTAAGCGGGCTTATGGCCATTGATAAGGACAACAATAGTCAAATCATTCCTTTAGTCTGTATTTGACATGGCCCGTATGGCTGACTTTGAATAGCAGAGTTTGGAAATTAATTTATATCATAATACACATCAGTATTTGTTAAACTTTATGTAAACATCTGCATAAGATATTTGGCCTTTTTTAAAGGTTATGTGGAACCTGACAAACTATTTACTCCATCTTAGTTGTATGAAAATAAACATATTTAAGGGGTCAATTGGGGTATATATGGTTTAGTTAAATAATCGTTTTGCTTGGGGAAGCTCTATGTAATGTATTATACTGAGATCTAAGTAATAAAAATCAATGAGAAATCTCTTACAAAAAAATGTGTGCGTATTGTTGCAAAAGGCTCATATATTGAAAAAGGTCTTAAGGTGGTCTGGCTGAAAAATGCATTTGTTTGGGTTCCCTTTTAGTGTGAAGATGTTGTGTAAAGAGCTTATAGATATTAGGTTAGTCTAATAGTTTAAATCCATCATCCCTACTCACTATCCCTTCATTGGCCAGCATCCAAATGG